GAGATCCAGATTCTACTCCTGTTGAGTAACTTGTTCGATTTTCGAATATCCCATTACCGTTTCCAAAAAATATTTTTATCACATCATCAGTAAAAAATGTAACAATGATATCTAATCGAGTATCATTATCAAAATCAGCAATAGCCACCGTTTTTGGATAAGTCATAAATCCAGTGGAATAGGTATTGTTCATTGAAAATCCTCCAGTACTATTTGCAAGAAATATTGCTATGTTACTACCTTCAGAATTAACTACGACAAAATCTAATCGATTATCATTGTTAAAATGACCAACAGCAACTGATGATGGTGAATCAATTCCATTCGAATATGTTGTTTTATTTAAAAAACTAATGGGACTATAACCAAGCATTACGATAATATTATTTGTACCTTTATCAACTACAATAACATCCTTATATTTATCATTATTGAGATCGACACTAATAATTGAAGAAGGCTTAGAATTTACACCTGTTGAAGCTGTTATTTGTGTTGGAAAATTTCCTTCATTATCACCTATAAATATCCATACACTATTATCGAAACTATTAGTTATTACAATATCTTCCACATCATCATTATTTATATCAGCAATAACGATTTCTTGTGGACCAAAAATATTACTTGTAAATGTAGTTTTATTTCCAAGTGTTCCGTTTCCAAATCCGAAAAAGGCCACAATAGTACCAGTTCCACTATTACCAACAATAATATCTAATTTATTGTCTTTATTCAAGTCTCGAACAGCTATGGAATATGGTCGTGCATTATAACCAATAGAATAAGTATTTTCAAAGGCAAATAATCCTTGTCCATATCCGAGAAGAATACTGACAGTACATGTACCATAATTAATAATGGCGATATCAACTTGTTTGTCATTATCGAAGTCACCAACAGCAGCTGCAAAAGGCAAAGAATCATATCCAGTAGAATATAACATCTCACGCGAAAACGTTCCATTATTATATCCAAAAATAATACTTATACTATTGGTACCATTATTAACAGATATAATATCTAATCGATCATCATTATTTACATCATGAACGAGAACTAATAGTGGCTGAGAAATACCAATCGAATATGTGACTTCAAGTGTAAAATGTCCATTTCCATATCCAAAAAAAATTCCTATGCTATGAGATCCATAATTGGCAACAACTATATCAATGAAATTGTCGTTGTTAAAATGACCGACCGCAACAGAATATGGTTTAGATCCTATACCAGTTGAATATTGTGTATCATTTGTAAACTTTCCATCACCAATACCAAAAAGAATTGTCATGGTATCAATGCCAGTATTCACCACTACAATATCAATTTTACCGTCTCCATTAAATTCACCAGAGGCTACAGACTGTGGTCGTGAATTTTGATTGACTAAGTTGTCAGGCATTGTTTTGTATATTATCGGACATGGATTATCTATGAAATATATCAATATTTCCGAAATAAAACAAAAATAGCATACCTCTTTTTCCTGGTGTAGTTAAACATACAACTAAAATAGCAGTGATCATTGATATAATTGTAAATATACCAAATGCAACAAATGATTTCCATGACCATGATGATTCTGTTTGAACTGAACTGTTTCTAATGAAAATAATTATTATTAGAGAATCAAGAACAAAAAAGATATTTACTGAGGCATCGAATGTTTATATTTAGTTACTATCTTTTTACGAGGTACTAATAAATTAACAGAAGAACGTTGATTGGCAAATGATCCTATGGTTGATATTGTAATGTCCGCCATGAAAACAATAGATTTCTCAAGAATGATAAGACGATTTCATAATTAATACAAATGAATATTATTATAGTTGTATTCTAGCTGTTCGATATTTTAATATTAATAACTTTTTTTTCTTGTTTTGTACGGATGAATCTTGATTATTACATATTTTATGCTATTTATAGACGCAAGGATGACTATATGAATAATATAAATAACATAACAGTAAATATATTTTGATTGATACACCTTGAAACCATGGACTATTATGCGTTAATCTAAATATATAACATGTGCACATATAGATGTTCGGGTGAACGAGATACCTCGTTTATTCTTTCTTTTTCCTCTCACTAACGCTTTTAATTGTTTCGTTCTGTTTCTTTCTTCTCTGACTGACAAAATATTATTCAAAACATCAAACAAGTTAAAATTAGAATGAAGATAATAGATTATATTTGAAAAATAATAGACTTTAAAATAAAATTTTGATTCTACACTATTGAATATATATGAGGATAAATTTCATTAAATTTAATAGCGAAGTACTTGATTTGTTATGACTTTTTTTAAATATATATTGATTTAATTTATAATAATAAACAATATTGCACATGAACAAATATAAAATCTACTCTATTTTCTAATACTTCTCAGGATTTTAGTCTTTATAATTTCATTAGTTGCAAAACTTACATAATTGTACTTCGTTTTAATTTATCACTGAAATGATGAATGAGCGAAACGATACCTATACTTCTATGCAGGTTCCGTACAAGAAAAATTGAAATCTTGTAGTATTGCAATAGGATGAATGCGGATATGTTGTAATCACGAAACGCAAAATTGATGCGCTGAAACGTGGTTTCACAACAAAAACGCATCCAAATCCGGTTAAAAACGGATTTTTAGTATGGAATGCGTTGAGATGCAATTATATTTCCGGGCATGTTTGCACGCGTTTCCTTTCGTGTGTATCACAGGTGATTTTATTCCAAAAATTGATGCTATAAAAAAGTTAACCAGGTGATCGTAATTATTGGTTTACGTAAATTTTATTCGGCTGAACTTCATTAGACTTTTTATTAAAGAATGTTCAGATGACGTTAAAATAGACTAAAAATCAAATAAATATACGACAAATAATTCATATTTCTCTAAAGCTTAAAGTGGCGACTCAGTTCGGATCTGAGATGGATTATCATATATTTTTCAGAATTTTAGGTTTTAAATAAAACGTGTTCAGACGCATTTTGTGGAAAAAATATTTACATGGGTAACTGCACTTTTTAGAAATAAAAGCATGCAGTCATTCGTTCATAATTAATAATAATTAAACTATGTTTAAAATAAAAAATGTGACGTCACTATTTTTGAAAGATAATGGTATGTCATATCCTGTTCTGTTTACTGTTAATTAATTTTGTCAAAAAAAAGAGATCTTTTTTCCACTATCATATAATAATATACTCTCTGCGGGTTAAAAAAAACGATATCATTTTTTTATTTCTATTCTTCTTTCAAATCTAATTTTGTATTTTGTTTTTTTCTCAATAGAAGTGTGGAGACAATGGCTGTTACAAGCTTACCATTAATACAACAAGCACTGACTCGATATGGAATGACGACTTATTTTGCATTGGGTCTTGTTGGTAATATTTGTAATTGTATAATGTTTACAAGACGATCGTATCGTCATCAACCTAGTTCTATTTATTTTATTTCTCTTTCAATTTTTGCAATAATTATATTAACATGGTCATTCATTCCAATATTTTATGGATTTAATCATATTGATCCACAAACACAATCATTAGTCTATTGCAAAATAAGATTTTATGGTACTCTAGTTTCTAGTCAATTATTTCGTTATACAGTTGTACTGGCTTGTTTTGATAGATTTTTTGCAACACGAACAAATATTCGTATTCGTTCATTACATTCAGTTCAAAAGGCAAAGAAATTTGTTCTTATTATATGTGTAATATGGATAATAGCCAGTATACATATTCCTATATTTATGGAGTTAAACAATAGTGTCTGTGGAATGTTTGGTGTATACAAATTATTTTTTTCAATTTATCAAATTATTTTCGTTGCTGTTTTACCACCAATATTAATGAGTATCTTTAGTGCTCTCACTATTCATAGTCTTCATCGGCAACATGCTACTCAAGTACGTTTTAGACAAAGAGATCGATATCTTCTACGTATGGTAATTTCGGAAGTTTTAATTAATATTTTGACAACAATTCCTTATTCATCTAATCTTATTTATAGCATAATAGCATCTTATGTTGTCAATAAAAGTGCTCAACGATTAGAAATTGAATCATTTATTAATTTCTTTACACAATTTATTGTTTATTTAATGAGTGTCGTTCCTTTTTATTTGTTTATTGCAACATCAAAACCATTTCGATATGAATTCATCAATATAATCGTTACATGTTGGAGTAAATTCATGCCGAGACAAATTCGAATCACTCCATCAAACGGACAAGTTATTACAGCAGCACTCAATGTTAGAACCATTAATGATAGACAATAAAAAAATGACATTGTACTTATTATTTTCAAATAAAAAGCAATCAAACAACATATGGATCACATAAGGTTGTTCAGAAGGCGTGGGTGTAATGGGTCTTCAGTTAATGAAACCTTTAACCGCTATAAATTTCAGCTTGACTATTGAAGATTTTTGGTAGAACTACCTCTATATCTATAACTTTATGTGGAGTAATGACAGTTAATAAAATTTTGACTTTTGATAGTGTTAGTTTGCAAGTAGTATTCAACAAAATTTGGTAACGAATTTTGCTATGATTTATATCAATTTGTGCAATATGTGATAAAAGAACAAGACTAGGTCATTTTCTGTATTTGTAGAAAAATATTCGATTAATATAAAAAATGTGAGTCTATACGCGCTTTTCTTTCTGTTAGATGATGCAGTTTAATTGATATGCTCAACCAAGCAACAGTATATTTCTTGTTATTATTATCCTCAGTTATGCATTGGAAAAAAAATATTCTAAAATTGTTACGGCGTGAGTGACAATGTTCATGTGCTTCAATTTGTTTTTTTTATCTAAGCAGCATTCACCCACAACCTATCCGATGTCAAATTAAAGAAAACAATTTTGTAGCACTTTTCTCTATGCTTGTCAAGTAATCGCAATTATTGTTCGCAGAGAGCGAATAGAATTTCTAGTTTAACTGTATGCATGTAATTCTTTTAAACAAGTATTAATTAATCGCAACCCATATAACTTAGATACTTTCCACTTATTGAATCACGTTCGATTTTTTCAACAAGGAATTGGTATCGCGCATCTAATAGTACTTCTTGTTCATCTGGATAGATTGAAAGAGAAGAAGTGTTACTTTTATTGCCCAGATCATCAATTCTGATGATGAATAATGTATTTCCAAACGCTTCGGCTGTTTCTCGGTCTTTTGATGTTGAAGTAAATGCAGACCAAAATAATGCTAATCCAACCACTTGTTGATAATCTTTAATCATCTCATCAGTAACTGTCACACCACGATAGACAACTAATTGTGTATAATCAACATCTTTATTCAGAAAACACTGCAACAACCAAGAGAATGGTCCCAAGGTATCCAACTTGCTCATATCTCTGTTTCTTATAGTGTTGTATTGGCCAGTTTATAGAGAAATGATTCAGCTGAAAAGAGACGTGCACAACATACTAGCTTATCCTGCAGCACTTCTTAACTCATCAGCAATTTGTTGTGCATCAAAGTCTTGCGGGTGTGATTGCTCAGTTCATCGATGATGTATATGTACCTACATTCACACCTTTGTCTGATATAGTTGTAAACCACAACGAAACGTCACATTTGAAATAAATATAAATCATACACTATATACAAAAGTCTTAAATAATAACATCTCATTGTTTGATTTGTTTGATATTAGTGTTCTTATTCATCAATAATGTTTTTTTCGGTTCTATCTTTATCGTTCATATATACCCAGTCGCTAGCTATACAAATTACAAATACAGAGTAATTAAGTTATTTTATTCATGAGCACAAACAACATTAAAAATAATCTTTACGACAAAAAAAGCATAATTAATACAACATATAAATATTTTTTGTATAATCCAATCGAAAACAGGAAACTTAATTTTTATTAACATGTCTATCATCTCTTGGATTATTGACTATATTTGCATTAGTCAAATTCTGTGTAGATCGTTGCCCACAAAAAGCATTGAGCAGTTGACGACGAAACAGTTGACTTGACAATGTAAACAAATAAAAACTTGTACATGGACCGACAATAGCTATTAAATTTGCAGCATTCATAGCATATTGTTCTTTAGCTTTGGTTAAATCAGATTTTACTATTAGGCTATTGGTTATAGATACGTAAAGCTGAATAACTGAACAGACAGTGGTCGTAAATCCAAATATAAAACATTGAATAATTAACATTCGAATTAAATGACGATCTAACTTCTTTTGATTTTGTTGTGAATTATTTTGAGGAGTTATTCTCTTTTTACTTTGATGAATATGTCGAATAGTAAGTAAACCAGAGATTAACATCAAAATAGTTGGAATCCAACTCCAGATTGTCAAGTTCCATAGAGAAAAAAATGCTTGATAAGTACCTGATGAGAAAGTACAAGATATTTTTGGTAATAAAACGATTGTCTGATTGAGAGGATAATGAATATTAATGAGACAAATAAATAGAACTGTTATTAATATAACACGAGTTGCAATATGAATGTTGCTCCATGCACGAAGGTTAGTTGATGGTGAACTGGCAAGAAACCTATAAAAAAATATCGAAATTCATTATATGAAACAAGAGTTTATGTACACAAGAAAGGAAATTTGAGAAGTGATGACTCGAAAATGTAATCTTCACTTTTGTTAAAACATGTCTTAAGTATCTGGTAGTAAGGGAGTGAGAAGTACTCACCGATCAATTGAAGCTAAGGCAATAAACCAAGATGGTAGTAATCTAAAAGTCAAGAAAAATAAGATTTACTTGATAACATATAGATTATTGGCAAAGAAACTACCTTGCGCACACTAAAAAATATGATAAAACTTGACATGCTGAAGTTGAATATATAAGTAAATTGATATTATATCCAAATTGAAGCATTCGTATTGGAACAATGGTATAGACAACAATACTACCAGATATAGCCGATGCCAGAAAATAACGTGCACATGGATTTAGAAGAAATTCAGGACGAGTAAAAACATATATACTCAATGTATGGCCCACTGCACCAATAACAATAAAAATAATACTCGTTATTTGGTAAAGTAACTGCATACTTAGGTTAAGATTATTAATTTCATCAGCTATGCTCGTATTTGATGACATGATTGTCAAGGAATTGCAAAGTAACTAAATTCTTGCTTTTTTTCTAGAAAAATATCATTTAAAAAACATATTTTATCTTTTGGATGTTGTTTTCAAAAATAAATAAATCAAAATGATACGTTGTCACTCATATTCTTCTACTATCTAGTTATCTTAATTACTTAGAAACTATTTATAACTCATAAGAGCGGCATCCACCAAACAACAAGAGAAAACACAAAAGTACCGCCTAAGTTTGATCGTTAGTATCGATGCTAAAAATAGTTCAAGTATAATTACGTACTTGGAATAATGATATTATTGAAAGAGGATTAACATGTTCAATTTAGATACTGATAAACTAAACTTTCAATGTTATAAGATGGTCTTTTAAAAAACTCTTTAAGATGTTCGAAAACCTAAAATTCAGGTATGTCTATTTATTTTTCTTTAACTCCAATAGATTTTTAATAAGAAAAAGAGCGAGAATTGCTATTTCTATCCCTTATGATATTGCTTTCGCATGAATAAATAACGACAGATATTCCAAATAGTATTTTTTTTTACTCTATATTTTTGAGAACTTTCCGCATGTGAACATGTTCAGACTAGACGCTTTGAACAGCTCCGTATTTCTTTTTTTTGTATTTTGCAGACTGTAGAGTCTCCCGAGCATTGCTCTATTAGTCGGAACAGTTACAAATATAAAAAAATTAAAGGATGCAATATAATTCCGATATATGCCACATAGAAAATATTTTGAAACAAATCTGAAAAGTATTATTAAATATTCATTAAGTTCAAGAGAAATTCTTTTTAGACACGAAAAATTGCAAAATGTGACGCACAATTTTGGTCTATATCAATTCTTAAAAAGCAGTGATGACACCTGAAATGAGATGAAAAGAAATAAACTTATCAATGTGATGTATATCTTTCAAAACAGTATAAGATATCATATATTATAATGTTTATTTACAGGAAAAATGATCTTCCACAAAAATCATTTTCTATAAATATCTTCGATTCGGCATCATATGTATGTATGGTGCGAAGAACATTGTTTTAACATTTATTTATTCATTTATATGACATACCTGATTTTTATACATCATAATAACTTCTGCTTGTGCATACAATAATAAATTAATTTGTTACGCTATGAATTCAAAATTATCATTAATAAAAATGCTTTTCTTTTCATCAAAATGTCTTTTTGCACGAATACATTCTTTTTTGATTTATTATAATTAAAAATAGATTGAAGTTTAATGTTCAATAAAATACTGGCACAAATATTCCAAAGAATGTAGCGAGAGATGAATTCTCGATATTTGAGCTTAATATGAAGAAGTGGTTGTCTATATGATACAGAAAAATAGTTTTAGTTCAATAAATTACCGTGTGCATAAAAAACTGAATAGTTCTTACTATTGCATGAAAAGAGGAAACTAATTGCTGTTCGTAATTATTTATTCAAAAGCTCATATTTTGCACGTTTCTTTGATTTTATTCATTTAGTTTGTCGTTCTTCAGCCATTATTAAGCTCTTATGCTGTTCTATTTGAAGATCTTTAATGAATTCGTAAATTGATTCATTTTGTCTTGTTGAATGCATCTTGAGGATGTAACCATGTTATAAATGGTTCGAGTTCGATTTGACTCGACTGAATATCGAAAAATTAAAATAGCACTCCGTTTGTACATAACGATTATTTTTTTATAATAAATTATCTTTCAATATAACAAATAGATCAGCATCTATTTGAGGTTCTTTGATGTGTTGATTTGCAGAAGGAGACTTGTTCTACTGTCAAAAATCCTTGTAAAAGTTATAGTTATATTTAGATTGGTAAACATGGAATTGAAAAATTAGTTAATAGCGTTGAAAAAAATATAAGAATTGAGGAGATTTTGAGAACATTAGTGCTATAAAGTTTAACGATAGAAATGTAAAACAAATAGTATTTTTTCATCAATTAAAGAAACGTTCATTTATTCATTGCCATACAAAACAATGAGAAAAATAGAAAGAGAAATAAACTAAAGAATAACGCCGAATACGAGTGACTGATCATCATGAATACAATACTTACACTTTCTATGAATGTGAGCTGTAGGTGACAGATAATATATACTCACACCCACATCCTTTACAAATAATGCTTTCTAGCGAAAAGATAACGTCTTTGATCTGCTCAGATCACATCTTTCTACGAAGCAAATACTTTCATAGCATAGAAACATGCAGAACTAGACGAGAAATGAAAATAAGAAATTAAATCTTAGAACAAAGCAAACAATAAGAAAATGTTTCTTTGACAGGTAATACTGATATAATATACTATTCTTTGTCTGTTATTGCATTTTTTGAGTTCTTATTGACACTTTCAATTTAAAACGAAGATAGATATAACATGCGATAAAATAATGCGAATAATATACAGCAGAATGCACAACATAACGATGAATAACTTAAGCATATATAAATTTAATTTAATATACCATGACATGAGAACTGCTATCAAAGTAACAATATTCATCGTTATAAATTGATCAGATGTTAATATGTACTGTGGAATAATTACATGAAATGCGGTGGCTATTGAGATGTAATTATTGCTTTTATGTATAACTGCACCTGCGCTTTTCGTTTCATTGATATCTATTTGAAAAAAATCATACTTATGATAAATTTTTATTAAACTATATCGGAAAAGAGATGCAATAAGCTTCCAATCGATGTATATAAGTTGTGGACGGAGAAATGGTGTAAATTGTCCAAATAGCACCGAATCGTAATATTTTGTTGAATAATATCAATAAGAAGTGGCAATAAATATATGTAGTTGACATAGCAAAACTACACACTATATTCTGCTCATACATATATAACTTCCTTTGTGGAAGTTCAAAGTTCAGATTCTATTCTATTTTCAAGTCTGAATCTTTTGGATGTGTGTGTGGATTGTATTAGAACCAGACTGACACCCACACCCTTTTTCTATAAATCGATATTTATCTTGTGCCGCTGTCAAAAATTCTTGTGAAAGTTATAGTTATGTTTAGATTGGTAAACATGGAATTGAAAAATTAGTTAATAGCGTTGAAAAATATTAGAATTGAGGAGATTTTGAAAACATTAGGGCTAAGAAATCTCAAGATAGGAATGGAAAATAATTATTATGTTCTCATCAATTAAAGAAACGTTCATTTATTGGTTAACATATAAAGCAATTAGAAAAATAAGCAGAGAAATAAATGAAAGAATAACGCTGCATACGAATGACCGATCATCATGAATACAATGGCTGTAATTGCTATGAGGTTGAAATGTGAGTAAAAAATAATACACTAACACCCTGAAGAAATTTGGTAGAAATATTTATATATTTAAAGTTCTTGTTTGTTTCGAAGTAAATGTTTATAAGAATTATTTGTTGATGTGGTAGTTAAAAATATACAAGAGTACCATAGTTTTGTTGTTCTCTATAGTATTCCAATAAATTCCCATTCGTTTACATTGGATTGTAAAAGCACATACCGTCACTAAAACTAAATATGGTTCCTGTTTTTTCATTAATAACATGTATATTTTTCAATGACGATCGGAGATGTATTAATGGATCCGAAATTAAGTCAAAAGAAGATGGAGGTGTACTAACATATACAAAGGCATTGATCGATATTTCATTATCATTAGGAAAGAATCCTGTTGAATTAAATGGTGTTTATATACAATCTTCAAAATGTTGATACAAACGTGCATTCATTTTTGAGCATTTAATTACGCCCAAAGATTAATAAATGAAATCAAATTTCCTTCCTTCTTATTCCCCACTTGATTATTTTTCGCGTAATGAATAAGATAAGACAAGAAATCTTCAAGGCCGTCATTTAAAAAAATGTCCGTCACTTCTCTTGGCACATAAACATCTTGTCATTGGAGACGTTGCTCGAACTTCATCACACGAATCAAGTAATTTGAAGTTATCTCCATGTTGCATAACAAAATATCTATAGTTTATATCTGGTCTTGAATGATGAATGATATTACGACCGATGAATGTTTGTTGAGCACAATAACATAATTTAACGTCCAATAAGAAAATAATTAGTAAGTATGTCATCAGGAATTTGTCCCATCCGGTAAAAGTACAAAGAAAGGGTGTGAGTATTCACTTGTTTTTGCATCTACACCCATACCCTCTTTTAAAATACATAAACAATTAGATATAAACGTCCACAATCATTATGTCTTACCTTTTCATTGTCCATCTCGTCGATGATAGTATATATACACTCTTTTCATTTCATTTCATTCAATTGAGTTCAGCTGCGTTGAAAAGTGTTCTCTATTCAATACATATGAATTATATTTTCTATCAGAACAGAAAGAATAATTCATAGTACCGAATGAATATAGTTCTTCTTCGCTCTTTTCGTTATCTTAAATAGCCTGTTGGGTTTTTCTACAATACATGTTTCTCACTATGTATTGTTTACCTTACTGATGGGTATTACTACTCATTTATGTTCTCAACAAGATTAGAATTTCTTTGTACGTGCGCCAATATAAAACAATTCTTTTCTCGTTTAAAAAGTTTATTTTTTCGTTTTCATAAAAAACATTCATAATAATACAACTTATTATTTGTTTTTTACGTCTTTGAGATGATTTCTAAATAATTCAATAACAGGATGATTTGAAGGTAATGATTGTTGTGCAGTTAGTATAGAATGTTCATAAAATGTGCGGGCCTTTGGGTAGTTCCCCATATTTTCATATACCAGACCAATGTTGTTGTAGGAAAAAGCCAAATCAGGATGATTGAAAGGAAGTAATTCTTGTTGAATTTCCAGGGCTTTTTCATGACATAAGAGTGCTTTTGGATAATTACCCATATTGTAATACACTAAACCCATGTTGAAATGCACTGAACCAATGTTGAAATGCACATAACTAATGTCGTCGTGGGATATAACTGAATCAGGATGATTGGAAGAAAGTGATTGTTGTAGAATTTCAAAGGCTTTTTCATAATAAGAAAGTGCTTTCGGATAATTGCCCATGTTTCTATGCACTTCACCAATGTTATTGTAGGAAGAAGTCAAACTGGAACGATTGAGAGGAAGTGATTGTTCTTTGATTTCAAGAGCTTTTTCGTGGGATGAAAGTGCTTCTGAATAATTACCCATACTATCATGCACTTCACCAATGTTGTTGTAGGAAGCAGCCAAATCAGGATGATTGGGAGGAAGTGATTGTTTACTGATTTCAAGATCTTTCTCGTAGTAAAAAAGTGCTTTCGGATAATTGCCCATACTGTCATGCACTGAACCAGTGTTGTAGTAAGAATTAGCCAAATCAGGATGATTGGAAGGAAGTGATTGTTGTCGAATTTTAAGAGCGTTTTTATAATAAGAAAGTGCTTTAGTGTAGTTTCTCATGTTTTCATGTAAATTACCAATGTTGTTGTAGGAATCAGCCAAATCAAGGTGATCAGAAGGAAGTGATTCTTGTCTGATTTCAAGGACTTTTTTATAAGATGAAAGTGCTTCTGGATAATTTCCCATGCTTTCATGCACTAATCCAATGTTGTCATAGGAAGCAGCCAAATCAAGATGATTGGGAGGAAGTGATTGTCGTTTGATTTCAAGATCTTTCTCATAGTAAAAACGTGCTTTCTGATATTTGCCCATGCTGTCATGCACTGAACCAATCTTGTGATAGGACACTGCCAAATCAAGATGATTGGGAGGAAGCGATTGTTGTTTGATTTCAAGCGCTTTTTCATGAGATGAAAGTGCTTCGAGGTAATTATGCATACTGTTATGCATTAGACCAATGTTGTAGTAGGAAGTAATGAAATCAAGATGATTGAGTGGAATTGATTGTTGTTTGATTTCAAGGGCTTTTTTATAATAAGAAAGTGCTTTCTCGTAATTACCCATGTGGTTATGCACATTACCAATATTACCATAGGATTTAGCCAGATCTGGAAGATTGGGAGGAAGTGATTGTTGTCGAATTGCAAGGGCTTTTTCATAATAAGAAAGTGATTTTGGATAATTATTCATATTTTCGTGCAGTACACCAATATTGTTATAGGATTTAGCCAAATCAGGATGATTGAAAGGAAGTGATTGCTGACTGATCTTAAGGTCTTTTTTATAATAAGAAAGTGCTTTCGGATAATTACTCATGCTGTAATGCACATTGCCAATATTACCGTAGGCTTTAGCCAGATGTGGATGATTGTGAGGAAGTGATAGTTGACTGATCTCAAGAGCTTTTTCATAATAAGAAAGTGACTCCGTATCATTACCCATGCTGTAATGCACATTACCAATGTTGTGATAGGATTTAGCCAAATCAGGATGATCGGGAGAAAGTGCTTGTCGTCGAATTCCAAGGGCTTTTTCATAATAAGAAAGTGCTGTGGGATGATTACCCATGCTGTAATGCACATTACCAATGCAGTTATAGGATTTAGCCAAATCAGGATGATTGGGAGGAAGTGATTGT